CCCTCGGCCTCCTTTCTTCCGCTTCCACAGTTCCGGTGATGGTGTCAACGCGGAACTCCGTCTTACTAACCTTATTCGTTACTTGAAGGTAGCAAGCGCGGGCAAGCTTTTGGTTCCCCCTCGAATAACCGATGCCCCCTCGGCTGGGAACTTGAGGCAGAGGTGCCTCATGGAGATGACGGCTTCGAGATCCTCGAGGGCTGGCCGGCCGAGGATGATGTTGTGGGCGCAGTCGATGTTGACGACGACGATCTCCACCTCGAGCTTGGCTCTATGGAGCCCGTCGCCGAAGAGTACCGGGAGGGTTATAACCCCCTCGGAGTCAATGGTGTCGTCGGTGAAGCCGGCAAGAGGGGTCTTGATGGGCCGAAGGGACCCCCTCTCCAGATGCAGCTCTCTGAAGGTACTGAGGTAGATTACATTGACGGAGCTGCCCGTGTCAATGTAAGTCCGGTGAATTATAGTGTCATTGGTCTCTGTGCGGATGACGATGGCATCCCTGTGTGGGGCGGACACTGGGGGGGGATCAGCGTTAGTGAAGATGATGGGTTCCTCCCTCAGTCGCTTTACTAGGGGCATATGAGTGACTTCCCCCACGTAAAGTGACTGAGCCCACTTCTTTCGCTGACTTGTAGAGCCACCCCCGGTATTGCCCCCGGTGATCATGAGGATGTGGCGCTTCTTTTCTTGGTACTGGGGGTACTCCTCCTCTTCTTCTAGGTTCCCAATCTCTCTCTTCTTGCCGAGGGGGGTGGTGTTGGGGTTTACCCATGCGTTTGCTCTCGCCGGGTGCCCTCGAGGTGGCCCTTGGTGAGGGAGGCCCTGTTGCTGAGGGCCCTGGATAAACTGGGACAGATGGCCCGCCTGTATTAACCTTTCGATGGCCGTCTTCAGCTGATGGCAGTCATCAGTTCTGTGCCCCTGATGCCGGTGGAAGCGACAGTAGGGGTAGTTTGGATTGATGGCATATACCTCTGGGGGTGCGCAGGAATCTCGCTCCACCAGGCCCCTCTCCTCGGCGAAATCAAGAATGACGCTGACGGGGTGCGTCAAAGGTGTCCGAGGGTGCTCCAGGAGAACAGGTTGTGCCCAAGCCCTCGGGTTCCCCTTGTAGCCTCCCCCGGGCTTGGCTTGGCCTTGCCGGGGGCGATCACCGGAGGGGGCAGAATCCTTGGGTAGATTACGGCGAGCCCCCGGCCCCCGGTTGCCTTTATCATCTGGCTGAGGGCATTGCTGATCCGGGACGTGATGGCACTTCTCCACCTCCTCGGCTTCGGCATACCGGTCCCTTCAGTGTAGGGCCCTTATATAATCGCGGGGGGGTTCGATGATGAGGCTCCTTGAGAAGTTCCCGGGGCGGAGTACTGTTTGGAGGAGGGCCAGGAGGGTCCCGTCGTCAGCGCCATCAACTTTATCCGCCTCCGTTCTCCAGCGCTCCAAGAAGTCCTGAAGGGTCTCCTCCTTCTTTTGCCTCACTGTTAGTAAGTGGGAGAAGTGTTTCCTTGTGCGGCGCCTTCCCGCAAATTGCGTCAAAAATCGCTGGGCGAGTTCTTGTCATGAGTCAATGCATCCCTCGGGCAATCGATTGAACCATTCGTAAGCCGGCCCCTCTAAGGTGGAGAGGAACCAGCAGCACAAATACTCATCCGATGCCCCCACCATCATCATGTTGTTTTGGTATCTGCTGTAGTGCTCCTGGGGGTCAGTTTTTCCATCGTAGGGCTTGATGAGCTGCCCTCGGTACTTCTCCGGGATCCGGGCCGCCAATACCCTTGGGGTGAAAGGCGTCCGGGTCCAGAGCTGTATGGTGGGTTCCCCGGAGCCCTCGGTTATCTTTCTCTTCATTTCCTCCATCTTAGCCAACATGGCCTCATACTTGAGGTCCGTATGAGGGGCAGAAGTGGTGGCGTGTGCTTTGGTGGCCTCCATCTCGTCAAGCCGGCGCTGGAGGGCCGCAATGACTTCGTCCTGGGGGTCCTTCGGGAGGGCCTCCGCCCCCTGCGAATGGACACGGGCCGAGTGGGCCTGGTTGATTTGGTGACGGGCATCGTTGGCATGGAGAGGTGCATTGCCTTTGTCCTGAGGGGGACGTCTTTCATTGGCCCTGGAGACGGACCCGCCACTTTCCTGTGGCCTCTGGAACGCCTTCCCCTCGAGGCGGTCTTGGACCCCTCGGCGGTCTTGCGCCCCTCCGAGTCTCTCGAGGGCGGAGGTCCGGAGTTGTTCTTTGTTCACGTTGTGGCGGTCCCAGGATTGGACTTCCTGGGAGGCCGTATATTGGGCCACGACCCCCTCGACGTTCCCAATCTGGAGGACTGGGTTCCCGAGGAGGTGTGGATGAGGGGGAGGCATGACATTCTCCCCGACCTGAGGCTGGAGGGGAACCAGAGTGCCGAAGGCACCCGGGTTCTGGGTGAGCGTCTGGATGAAGGCAGAAAACGCTGATTGTACGTCGATTGTAATTACCGGAGGGCTAACTTGGTTCTCGCTCCGGTCCTTTTTCTTAGCCTCGATGCCGAGGCGGGCATCGGGGGCATTCTGTTGAATCTGATGGCGTAGGTCGACAGCCGTCTGGTCCAACCCGGCGATGACGCCGCCCCCGGGAGCCCTGTTAGAGGCTTCGGGGATGTCGACTTCGCCGAAGGCCAGGTTCCTGTCCTCGACATTCTTGGAGTTGGCACGAGTTGTTCTCACCATTTTAGCTAGGTGTTTTGTGTTTGGTCGAGGGGGGGGTTCTTACTTGATTGTTCGACCTCTTAATGAAAGCACCAAATGATGGATATTAGAAATGTAGAGAGAAGTCAGAGCAAGTAAGTAGAGAGAGAGAAAGTATATTAGAAATGTATTCAGCGTATTTGCCTCTGGGTTACAAATGGGGAAATGGGGTGCTATTTATAGTAGCAATAAATGCCAGATAGGGACACGTGTCAAGCATCCATTGGCCGAGGGGTCACCTCAACTGGTTGGCGCTGGCAATCGCATGTGGCCGCATTTAATGCGGCTGTTGGATGTGACGTCGTACTTGGTACGGTGATCCATGCGCATGTGGAGCGGATATTATGTCGGAAAGGTGCCCTCGGCTGTAGATGATTAGCCGAGGGCTCTGAGTACCGGGGACCTCCTTCGTGCCGAGGGTTCTTGTTGCTTAGAAGATAAGTTGCTAACAGTTGAGCCACGAAATGGAGCGGGATAATTTTCTCTTTCATATGTAGTGTTTTTAGGTATAAGCTAATCCGACTAACAATTGATCGAGTGGAACAATTTTCTGTCATATATAGTTCTTTTAGGCATTAAGAGAAACTGGTTGAGAATTTAGCAGAATAGTTTTCTCTCTCATATCTTAGTTCTAATTTAACTGATGAGTAGCATCTTCTTTTTCAACTAATACTATTCATTAACTTTAATAATTATTCTACTCACTTAAACTTTATGTCACTCACCTATTGTTCTCACTTTTTCAGAAAAGTATTTAATTTTAAATTTAATTTAATCATGAAAATTTATAAGTAGTATATTCTAATGAATGGTATGAATTAATTTTTCCTAATATACTCTTCATTGAATATGTATTTAACGGGCTTATACTTTATGGCATTAGCTTATTGTACTCTTATTTTTAAAAAATGTTGAATTATATGAAGTACTTTTACTTTAATTTTAATTAAATCGTGTGTAAAAATATATGCACCAAATTTCCCAGTGCGTATGCACAGGTACTATATATTGATGGACTCGGGCCGGGTCGGGCCCGGGCCCGGTCGGGCCGCCGGTTTGTATGACATGCGCCCGGGACCGGCCCGAGGGTTGGACGGGTCCAGTTCGAGCCGGGCCACCCGCCCGGGTCACGGGTCGGGTCCGGTTCGGGCCGGGCCGGTTAAATTTTTTTATATATATAATTTACATTTTATAGTTTATAGTTTTATACGAGTATTAAAAACAAACTTCAAGTGCATTTATTTGAAATGAAATAGGAACTACATTTGAAAATTAAAACAAACTTTAAGAGACAAACATTTTGAAAATTGTAATCAATCGGAACTTCCCGCACCTCCCGATCCTTTAGCTTTGTCACATGACTTCATATGCTTGATTGCCATCCCGTATGGCCGTATCCGCCTGAAACCCCCATGCTACATTTTTTCTCGCACCATTTGCAAATTGCGTACCACATCCCGGTCTTCGGGTCCTTCTGCTTATCAAAATTATACCGTATAATGGCATCTTGATTTTCCATCTTAACTTCTTAAGTATAAACTAAAAAGTAGATATATAAATAATAAATATAATATATTGGAGAATAAGAGAATTAGAGAGTTAAGAATAGGATTTAGGAAGAATTGGAGAAGAGAGATGAAAAAATGTTTAAGATTATGAGTATTTATAGGTTTTTTTACCCCCCCACCACCCAACCCCCCCGGACCCCCCTGCACCCCACCCAACGGCTATATAGCCGTTTGGGTTGTCCCCACCCACCCCCAACGGCTAGTAGCCCAATTTAAATTTTTTTTTTTTAAATCGGACCGAACCCGGGGCCGGGTCACATTTATCCAGAACCGTGCTCGCCCCGCCCATTCCCACCAGTTCGGGTCCACACCCAGTCCCGGACCGCCCGACCGGGCCGGTCCCGGGCCCGCACAGTACCGGGCCGGTCCCGGGCCCGCACAGTACCGAGCCGGGCCGGGTGGCCCGAACCGAATCCACCCCTAGTAGTCTAGTACTATACTAGTATACCGATACATTTCATCTTTCAAGTTCCAGATTGATAATTCATCTATCTTTCTAATCTTGGATTGATAAAATTTCCAGTTAGTAATTTCATAAAGCAGTGTATATGCATTTAAAAGCTAAAAATAGATAGAAAACAGGACTCGATTAGGCCTGGAACTGGAGTAACTAGACTCGGTCTCAATTCAATGAATCCCGACACTGCGGGGGGCAGTCAGTCCTAGGCCAGAACCAGTCCACCCATGCCCACATGAATGCAAACCAAAACGAGGCTCATTTTTTCATAAACACTTTCTCATTTTTCATCTAAAATGTTTGAGCACACATATACTTCGTATACAAAGTTACACACACACAGGCACACCCAAATGCTTTGTACGCACAGGCACATACATATACTTTGTAATTTGTATATACACGATACATAAATTAGTCTTCACAGGATTTTAATCTAAATCACATTCCTCGATTCCATACCTTTCCGAGATCCCAGTCTGCAATCTGCGATCTATATAGTATATATGCTCCCTACATATTCTACATTTGAAAATTGAGGCAAGCTGCTATGCAACTTCTAACAGCTTGTGTACAATACTACAATCTGCATTCTTATGGCATACAAAACTCCCATCACAATTATAAAACTTATCTATGTATTCTTACACCTTACTATGGCACTTTTTGCATTGCTAGGAACTCCACCAGCCTCCCAACAAAACTTAAAACAAAAAAAAAACTTTAACCTCCATTAGGGGATCAAATTTAGACCACCTTTGCCTTGCTTTTACTGGGTGGATTCAAACCATAGGCTGAACCTCCAATTCAGCTCATCAATCACTATAATCTCCATAATCATCAGAATCTGAACCTCCTTTTTCATCCCCACTTATATCTGAGTCATTGCCATCATCCATGTATACACCACCTCCACCGCCGCCTTCAAGGTTTTGGCCATCTTCCCTGTAACCACCACCCTCTTCTTCCTCATCCTCACTGCTACTACTACTGTTTGCTTCCTCGTCTGTTATTTCCATCTCCCCATTACTGTGGTTTGGAGTATGGAAGCTTGGTGGCCCCCACTTGCTGAACACGCAGAGATTTTGTTCACCACTGTCGACAGATTCCATTTCCTCTCCGTTATTACTATCATCATCGTCGTCTAGGGTTCTTTCTGTATTTATATCCATCATGTCTGGTTCTTCTCGGCCGTAAAGCAATTCAGGTGATTCTGGAACTCTTCGTCCGTACTCACCGCCACCTGTATCTTCAATGGCAAAAGACTGTTCTCTCCTCCTCCTTATGGTCCGCCGGCCACGTGAAATTGGCCCAGCAGAACTCCCTTTAGGTATTCTTTCACCTGCGGTAGAGTCTGATATTGATCCAGTGTTTTCTTTGGGCAATCTTCCACGTGGACGACCACCTCTGCCCCGTCTTGTTTGCTTACCTCGGGAACCGCCAGAACTGTGACCCGTGTAATTCCAGTTTTCCTCTTTTATATGTGTGCTTTGATCCACTACAGTGGGTTCTGCTTTCTGAATGTTATTCAGCGAGGCAACCACCATATTAGTCTTCTGAGTCATAATTAAATCAACAAGAATAACTTGGAACTAGGGAGTATAAAATATGCAAGTGCATACACAGAAAAGGCACAAAAACCCGTAAATTGTGTTTTTATAATGGGTTTTTTCCCTAATATTACTAAATTAAAGCTAATTTCCAAATATGTGACTACTATTAAATATTGACAAAAATGTGATTAACAAGGTCATATTTTTGGGAAAACATGTCACTGCAATATTTTTATGTCACTGCAAATTTTCATGTAACTAAGAATTTGTCACTGCCAAATTTTCAGTCACTTAAGGATGTCACTGCCCGTGAAAAATGTAACTGTGTCGCCTGGAATTTTTCTGACAACTTTTTCCAGCGCTCCGCCGGCGCCAATAACACTGCAGCCGTCCCCAGTCCAACCCCCGTTCTTTTTATGTTCATCAGTCATCACCAGTGTTGATCCAACAGGAAACGCTAACCCCTAACAAGCAGGTCTTCCGTTTTGTACAAACTTAAGCCCCTAGGCCTATAAATGTTCTTTTGACTTGGATATTTTACGATTTTAATTTCATTCGACTTTGATATTTTACCAATTAATGTTCTTTTGACTTGGACATTTTACTGGTATGTTCTCTTTACTTGTGATTTTGTTTTGTTGAACTTTTATTATGACTTATCTATATTATTAAATTTATTGTACCAATATTTTTACATTTACATATAAGGCTTACGCTTTATTACGCCTCGTGAGGCTACGGTCGACTGCCTCGGGACCCAATTTCACTTTCAAAACCTTGACCTGTCCCACAATCTCAATGTCGCAAGTGCCAATTTATTAAATTAAAAGGACCAATATATAAAGTAAATTAAGTTGAAATGTGTATGCAAAGGTGTGAGACTGAGTTGAACTCAACTGTAACGCTTTCGACTTTTGGTGCATCATAGCAGGGTTTAGCTTTCTGCTCTGCGTCATATGAAAGAGATGCATCAAACTCAAAAAGTCTGAGTGCCACCGCAGCAGTGGTTAGTGGTATCCACGGGAGATATTCTGGAAAACCAATTTGAGTAGAGGGAACTCTTAATGAGAAACTTAGACCCAATAACTCCCTCGTTGTCTCGAAACTTGATGACAGATAATCTCGTTCTACAACCCCTTCAAATTGAGTGAAAACCTGCAGAATAAATTGTCTACCGCTTAGAAACTGTTCTCTTTGTTTTTGCTTCATCAGCAAGAACTTTGTTTGGAGGGGAGGGGAGGGGAAGACTGATTTTAGTATTACTAGCTTTTTCTATTTCAGTATTAGGCTCGAAAATAAGTACAAGTTCAGTAAAGGAAACGTTTGGTAGCTATTGTCAGCTTATCCTTACCAGCTGAATAAGCAGAAAAATCAGAATAAGTAGCTTTTGACTTGCCAAATGCTTTACCTCTTATGAAAAAAATAGCAGACTCAACAATTTCAGCCAAACAACTAACTAAACATGTCATCATCATCATTACCCCAGTGCCGCAAAGGCTCCCACACCTTTGGTGAGGTAAGGGGGGTCAGATGTACGCAATCTTACCCCTGTACTAAAGCACAAAGAGACTATTTCCGGATGACCCATGGTGAAAATCGCATCGAAAATTGCATGGACTGACTGTTGCTTCATCACAAAGAAGCGCTTACAGTTTAGCAAGTCATCTTGCTTTATTCCATCATATTCCCAAGCCAAAAAAATTGGTAGACTTTGGCTCCATTGCAAATGATGAAAAAAACTAACTATACATGTATTTCTATAAAAGTTTTCATCATCTTCTACTTTCTCTCCAACCATCTACATGTAAGAATATATTAATATTAACATTAATTAATAAAATAAATATCAACCCTTCTCTTTCCTCCAGTAATTACCCAACCAAACAATTTCAGGCATACACGCTAATAATTCATACTTCCTCCGTTCTTAAATAAGTCCAAGTGAATTTTACACTATTCACATGTCCTGCTTTAACAACACTTTATTTATTAATGTATTAATATATTATTTTTTAGATATTATTAAATGTATCACTTTTGTAAATTTTCAAAAACTGATTTCTTAATTTTTCACTAATAGAGAATAAAATATAATAATAATAATAATCAAAGATGTGCATTGACAAACGTGAAAAGTGGAAAAACATGAGTTAACACTTAACACTATTGGAATTTGGAAGCACAAGCACATTTTGTTCTCTAACAAATGCGCCAGACATACTGATTATATACTGTGACTAATAGCAACATTCCTCTTGGTCCGAAGAAGGGGACGCCATTCAAGTACTAATCTAGTCCATATGCTGGCAAAATGAATTAAAATGGTTTTTTCAAGACAAACTATGGAAAGATTTGACCAGTGTATAGTGTTAGCTAGCAAATAAACTCTGTGAAACCAAGGATCATCATAACTACATAATGACACACTTATCAGGGAGAATCATTTTAGCAAGCTGCCATTCATCTAAGAAACCAAAGGTCGGCACACTAAGCAATAAGCATATAAACAGTGTGATTGCTTGGTGATTGATCATTAAAACCATGCACTACACATAAACGTGAGATTTAGTGAAAACCTGCAGAAGATCCTCGGATGATGATAAATTGTGCAGCTTTAGACCCCACATCCTCCTGATGTCTTCCGTCCATGAAGATTGGAGTGCTTCACCTGGAACAGAAGCCTGGTGATTGGGGAGAGGAAGATCTCAGTTTTTTCCAATACCATGAAATCTGTCCCTATCTATAAAAATAATTTTACTTTTAGACAAAACAAAATTTGTCCCCAAATAATTCAATTTATTAAAATCAAGAGCACTTTATTGCTCAGTTTTTACACTTTTCCATTGCCATCTATAAATGCTTCATCACACTGGTCTCTATCTTCAATGCAGTAATGAGGTGTTTCGCTCATAATATAGATTTTTCACCTAGATGTTAAAGTTAGTTAAGTCCTACATCATTCATAAGGGTGTAAAAGCTTAAGCCTTTGATTGGTTAAGGTAAATAATAGAAATATACGAGAGAAAATAATAGAGGAGAAATGTAAAAAATTTGTTGTTTGGTGAAAAGATAAATAAAACGGTGGGTTCCGCCTTTTTATTTCTTCTCCCTGCATGGAGAGAAACCCCATCAAAATTTTGATCCATTTCATCTTCATTTATCTCCTACCAAACAACAAAGTCTACCCATTTATCTTTTCTATATTCCTTACCTAATTCAAACCTAGGCTAAACAACAGTTACTTGAGAATGGAATTGAAGGTATAAACATTCTAGAATTTGCGATTTAATTCTCTCGAAACAAAATGATTGTTGAAATGATAGCATGGGACCCTCACCTCAAGCATGGATAACACAGCCTTGATCAAAATGATTCTTAGTGGACAAGTATTTGAGATAATCAAATCCTCATTGTCAAATTTTATCATGTCATTAGAACTGTTCTCAGACTCCAAAAGTTTTACAACAAAGTCAACTTTCCCGAACGTTTTGTGGCAAGAGCCGCATACATCTTCTTCAAAAAGAAATGTGTCGAGACAACGATCACACACACCTAATAAGGGAAAGCGCCTTTTTTGTCCATCTCTCAATGCACACAAACTGGAAAGCCCGAATTGTTCTTTCCACATCCAAATCTGGAAGTCTTTGTATCTCCTCAACACATTTTTCTTCTCCTCCTCGTTTTTTCCCAGTTCAATTTTAAAAGATGGTTCCTCTCTATCAGAATTTGTATTACACACCATACTATTAGGACTATCCCCGCCAACATTAAAACTCTGGCCACCAACTGAATGTAATGCATTCCTTCGTGCTCGCTCCCTAAAAGGAATCTCAATCTTTTGCAACATTATATGTAAATGAGATTCCCTAAGCCCTCGGGTATCCAAAGATGTTAAAAGTGTATCAAATGCCTGCAAGTCAATAAGACACTCATTAAACTTTGAGCCCTTCTGTGATCTCTCTAAGACTCTAACCCCTTGTTCTTTTGAAGAGATATATTGAAGCAAGAAAATGAGAAGGGAGACAAGACAAGACCCTATTGTTCATGTTGGTGAGAAATAGGGGGAAAAAAGATGGGCTAGCCTACTGTTCAGATCTCTTCTACAATGGGAAAAAATTAGAGAAAACTTGTTTCCATTTGTTTGCATATATACCCACTTCTTCTAACATCATAATGTAGAATGTTGAGAGTGTCTTTGTCTTTTTACAAGTAACATACATTTATTTCCTTCCTCTTTCTCACATTTCTTTCATACCAAACATTACATAAAATCCACTTTTCTTCTTGCTTCATCTATTCTGAATTCCTCTCCTTAACCAAACAAAGCTTGCAAAATGAGACGGTCATCAGGTTGCAAAATAGCAACTCAAGACAGTTTGCTACGGTAGACTACATCCTGGCAGGGTTAGGTGGGGGAAACTGAGGGGGGTCTGGTCAGGTTTTTTATGACAGGAATTTAAAGGCACTGCATAGAAAGTAAGGTTTTTTAATCCTACCTCTTCAGTGTCAATCAATTTCCAAAGGCCAACAGGTGATTCAACAAAGATCCTGCCAGAACCAGGATCATGACTAGTACCAGAGGCGACAAAAAGCCAATAGCGGTTACGTCTTCTGTCTTGACCTAGTGGCAAAGACCTATACACATACATCTCTTCTGCTCTATGGCCAATGAAAGATTTCAGCTGCATTCTTGACCTTTCTGCTGTATACCCACTTGGTTGAACCGTGGAAATAAACGGGCTTGTGGAAATATCAAGTGGGACCATGCTCCTTTCAGCAGAGAAAAATTCAACCTGGTTTGGAACATTGTTCAATCCAACTGAAGTGTCATTTACAAGAAGTGTGTGTGCTTGCAGCTCAGGAACTTTGCTGACAGGAAGGGTGAACGGACTCTGACTTCCCTCTGCTGGAATAGCTAATGAACAATCCTGAAGCTGAAACTTAATTAGATTCTCTTCCTTGATACGCCTTCTATCCAACTGTGCTTCAGCCCACATCTGTTTCTTAAGAGCATTTGCAGCATCAAGTCGTTCCTAAAACACAACCATGTCAGATAAATAAAAATGGGAAAGCGTGCATTGGCAATGCAGCTCATACCCAATTTAGTCTGTTGACTACACACTATTTACTAATTTGGACCCATTTTAGTCATCATACATGTTTGGTTCTACAATAGGGTGCTTCAATTTGACCCTCTACTGTGTAATTTGGAACTATAGAAGTCCTCAACGTACGGAAATATCCTTCTTAAATAGAGCAAAATATGCATGAGGACTACGTTGAGTCACTTGAGTTAGAATTGCATAGCCGAGTACCAAATTGAGTCCAAAAGAATGTAGGGGACCACATTATTAAGTAAAAGTGTATACTCAAAGGACCAAATAGGTCTTAAACTCTTTAAATTTTTTCTAGAGGAAAAAGGAAGTGCTGGAAGTTAACCTCAAGAACTCCACGAATAGAATTCCCTTCATTTGCAATGCTGATTAAGGCAATAAGAGCATTCAAACGCTCTTCCACACACAGATTGGAATAGTCACCTTCAGTCAGACCTTGAACCCATGGTTCTCCTGATTGGCTTTCATCGATCTCTGCACCTTCTGGGCCAGGACTACTTCCTCCAATACCTTCTTATGAGCAAAGAAAATAGTAAATAATTAACAGAACATGCATGCCCATCCACTTAGCCATAAATCCAATAAAATGTCTAAAGCACATATCATTTACTCACCCACGGTATCCAATCCGTCTTCCTTGGCAGTTTCTGCAGAAGAGTTATCTTTTCCATTCACTAAACAAGCACACATATCATTTTGTAGGTCAATGTTTTTAATAACGTCTGATGGAGTGCCTAAATCATCACCCTCCTGACCATCTGCGGCATCACACTCAGAATCATCGTCTCTTTCCTCATCATCAGCATTTTGTCCATCTAAAAACCCGTTTACATATCTCTGTATCTTCTCCCTGGCTACTGAAATTATTTCTTCTGCATTTGCCGGATCCTTTCTGAAAGAAGGTCGGACACAATATGTCGAAGGGGCTACTCTTTCAAAAAGCAAAGGATCCCTTGACAAAGCAACAGAAATAGAAGCTTCTGGGGTCTTGCTGGTTGTTAGGTCTCGAAGCCCAGATTTCTACAAGTAATACACAATTTATTAACCCGATGGAACAGAAACGATGAAAATAGCAAGTGAATGAGATACGCTACCTGAATCTTCTCAGCAAGATCTATAACATTTAAGCCTTTTTCTCCTTCCAGCGCAAGAAGATGATAAGCAGCAAACTTCACAGTTCCTGGAGTTAATCGATGTCTGGACTTGCGCTGAAGAATAAATCCTTTTTCTTGCATAATCGCAACTGCACTTTCCGCAGCAGAACCACTTCTTAATGTGGATATGATATCCTCACACCCTTTGATCTGCATGTAGAGGGATAATAGAATGATTCATATTAATATTCAGCAATTTAATAATGTAGCATGCATTTGAAATTATGGATACAGCAGTGGAAATTAAAGACCCGGACTGTTCACTTGTTGATCCCATTGATTTATTCCATCTTTCTTCAGGGAATGTTTGGTTAGAGGAGAGGAGAGGCTTGATTATTGTTTTACTAATTTATATATATATATATATATGTTACTTTAAAGCAATAAAATAACTAATGCTCAGTTATATAATGATTTTATAAATAAAAATCATATTCATTTACTTATCCAGCTTACCACCATCTAACTGTACGAATAATCAAACAAATACTCCCTCCGTCCCCCTATAATTGTCCCATTTTTTCATTTTTGGATGTCCCCCTATTATTGTCCCATACCATATTTGGTAACATTTGTGTGGCTCTAATTCATTCTTACTTTATTCTCACTTTACTAACTTATTATCAACCACATAATTCTACTTTTCTTAAAAATCACACCACTCTCTTCCATCACAATATTAGGGGGACGGAGGGAGTATTATAAACATCACCAATCCCCATTGAAACCCCCAATCAAACAAGGTATAAGATGGGAGCACAAAAGAGGGTTTGGTCAAATCAGAGCACAGCAAATGATTTCACTTTCACGTGTGTGTTTGTTCCCGGAGTCATGATTGCCCTTTGACCAAATTTTGGGACACTAAAATGTAAACTCTACATAACCTCAATCAAGAATAAAAACAGAAAATGGGATGGACAAAAGGAAGCAGAGGAACCTCATCATTATCATTTAATATTGCATGTTCTTTACTCTTCTTCTTCTTCAACTGAGGACCTAATCCAGCTGAAAGTGCGAATTGTCTCAATACTTCAGGCCATGTTAATGGATTTAAGTGCTTTTTCCAGTTGCATATGTCAAAACCCCATGTATAGGCCTGCAAGAAAGGCAAACATCAAAATTACCGCTTCAAGCCACACATGGCATTATTTTAAACAAAATAACTAACATGCCCAATCAAGAATTACCCCTTCAACTATTTTAGGGTGTCCACCTTCTGGGTTGACAGCACTATACTGGTTTGTACCAGGCCCACCAGAAGGTGTTCTAACAACATCTTCAATATCTTTTATGATCGTTTTCAACAGTGCAATATGTATCTCACTAAGCAATCTTGAATCCTGATTTCAAAACAAATAAACAACTTAGAAATCTTCTTGCACACTCCACAAAATATTATAAAAAGAAAATTTGAGGAAGGCTTTGGAATCAAAATATTTATCTATTAATAGAATCACTTAGAATATGCACTCAAAACAAACTCACACAGTCATGGAATGCCTGAACAAATTCATCTAGTGTAAAAGGCCAAAGGCCAAAAACGTCTGCAAAATTTATGCAGAATCTCCAAGCCTGCAAAGAAAAGTGTACATTATTTAGAAGTAATCATTTTTCATAAAAAATAGAGAGAATCGATTACAAAGATCAATATAAAGAATACTACTAAAGTACATGCATCCTCTGCTTTTATGAAAATGTGTCACTATGAATGTGTCATGAACGTGTACATTTTCCCATTTCACATTGCATAAGGAAATGTTTGACTCTAAATAAGCCGCGGCAACCACTATCATCATCACTACAGCAACAACTGCAGATGGCCATCACCGATAACCACACCCATTACCGAGTACTTAAAAAATTGAAGTTGGAAATAGACTTCAAAAAATGTATGTTGTAAACATCCATCACTACAGCAGCAACTGTAGATGACCATCACAGATAACCCCGATCACCACAACCATTACCGAGTATATTGAAATGTGAAGTTGGAGATAGACTTTGGAAAATGTATGTTGGTAAACATGTTTCCTGAATATCAAAACAAGAAACAGAGGATGCATGTTTTAAAACTACAGTAAATATAGGCCCTTGTGTTTTTAGCTTATCTATTCTATTTTGGAAACATTTGACTTTGAGTCCATCATTTCTTCCCAAAAGCAGTGCATGATTAATTCGAAAGAAAACCTAATCTGTCAACACAACAAAAAATGGAAAAGAAGAACAGTCATCGTTAGAGTAGAGCATACCATGAGAAGGTTCCCAATGTTCTCCTGAGAGTCAATCCATGGATGGAATGAGAATGGACTTTTCATTTCTATAGACTTTGGAGGAAATTCACACAGACATTCTGCATATTGAGCAAAGAATTCTAAACATTAAGATGATGATGATGATGATGTTGATGATGTTGATGATGATGATAAATAATAACACTGTAAGTATTGGAACATTTTTTCCCCAGCAACTACACTAGTATGAAATTGTGACTTGAAAACCACTCACTTAAGCAGTCCATTAAATCAAATTACACTGACCTTGATATGCCTCCAGGTTTTGCAATGTGTCATAATCAAGGGAACCTAGTGATGACAATCCTTTCTTAGAAACAGCCAATTCCATTAGTTCCAAACGTTCATCCTCAATTAACTCTAAAGATTCTTTCGCAAACTTCCTAGCAGCTGCTCTCTCCATAGCAGCCTTCTGTTTGGTTGCTTCCTTCTCCCTACGAAGCTCTTCTTTCTGTCTTTTCCTCTCAGCCTAAAAGCCCAAATGAAAAAATCAATATCACTGCTATTAGCCTAGTACTCAGATGTTGAAGTGAAGAAACTAAAAAATATGGCCCAGTTCAAGCATACCCTCAAAAGCTCTTTCTGCAAAAATTTCTCCCGTCTTTCCAATTCACGCTTCTCCTCACGCTGAAACCTCTCCTCCTTCTTCTGTTTTTCACGCATTAATCTCTGTTCTTCCTTCTTTCTCTCACGCTCTTGTCTTTCCATTTCCTTTTTCATTTGTTCTTCCCTCTTAACGGGAAGAAAAGTAATAAAAAGATCAGACTTCAAGAGTACAAAATTCAATTTGCAGCAATGATTCCAAAAGCTTGAGGAGCTTAAAAACCATACCTTTCTCTTCAACAGGTCCTGTTTTTCAAGTTCCTTTTTTATTCTTTTTTCATGCACTTGAGCATCCCTTTCAATTCTGGCTTCATCGTTCTAGAAGAGTTCATAGACTAGTAAGAAAAATATATACATGAAAATTGAGGGTTCCTGAAAAAACACATGCTAAAGCCTAAAGGAAAGGGAATACTTCAGTAGTACCTTGTGTTCATGATCCATTTGCATAGAGCACTCATTAGCAGCAATAATAAGTGCACTCCCACTGGTAGGAGATGGATATTGCCCCTGGAGGCCATGTTGAGTCAATATATTGAGAGTTGAAGCATGAGCTTCAACACCATACTCTCTAGAGAAATGTCCATTGTCTTGTATGACTGACAGAGGTTTTGAAGCAGGGACTCTAACAGGTGAATCATAGTGATACGATGGGGGAATTTGTTCACATCTGTCTGCTCTTATCCTTGACTCGGGAAGTTCTGGGAGAGAACTTGGTAATGCCTAAAAATGAAGTGCATATTAAATTTTAATAACTAATACATTAACAGCCTAAAAGATGTCATCTTAACTTTCCAGGAAAACACATGCAGTAAATCTAGGTTTAGCAAGTAAAAAAGTTTTTCAAAGAAAGTGAAAAAATTTATGACACGTGATACAACCCACTCAAATTCATGATCAGCTTTAACAGAAATTTTTTAGTGACAAATTGTTCCACATTTAAAAAGGTGTATGTAATACACATAGAGTGAACTTAGAACAAACGTTATATGGTTTAGTCTCATATGGCCCGAACAGCTCAGTATCATAGGAATTCCTGTAACGGTCCCGATGCTCTATTGACACTGTTCAATATCAAACAAACATAAAACAATATAAGTCAGCAAAAGTAACCAGTATTTAGCTAGAACCAAGTTTCACGTACTATTCATGCAACAATCTCTATTCCATGATATCTACCTTATTCAGCACTTCGCATGTAGTTTTACAACCAGATTAAAGTGTTAAAAATGATATTTACAACTTTAAATATATTGGTCAAAAAATAACTCATGACAGCTCCTTTGACAGGTGAATACCATACAGAAGAAAACTTGTTCATTTCCAATCCACATAAACAATGAATTAATATACTCCCTCCGTTTCTAAAAGAAACTCACACTTTCCTTTTTGAGATGTTTCAAAAACAAAGTCACACTCCCCTTATTTCCTTATTTGGCAAAGAAATCTACATCCAAACAGTGTCAAACAGTGTGAAACAGTGCCAAACAGTGTCCAAACAGTGTCTAAACAGTGTTTTCTACAGCAAAGTCAATTTATTTCCTTAATAATCGTGAAGTCAAACCGTTACTTTCTTTTGGAAACGGAGGGAGTATAATATACGCATAAAAAGATCTAAGAATTTTTCAGCTGCATGCTTATGTTGTTTTCAAATTAAAATATACTACCTTTGTTCTTAAATAAGTGCAACATGTTGAATTTTAGACTATTCACATGTTCTACTTTGACTATGTTTTATTTATTAATGTATTGAAATTATTATTTTTTAAATATTGTTAAATTTGTTTCATCATATATTTTGAAAATCTGAATTTTTAGTTTTTTACTAATACATAAATAAATCTATTAAAGGTCAAAATTGTGTCTTGGCAAACGTGAAAAGGAAATGGTGCGCTTAAAAGAGGATGGAGGTAGTATAAGTTTACAAAACACAATTAGCAAAAGAAGCACTAAAGAAAAAAAGTTCTATAGTGAAAGAATTAAAAAGTACCAATAGGAGCACCAAAAGCACCAGGTGGAAGTTCATCAAACTCCACACCAAGAATAGGTGCATCTTTCCTCAAAGGCTCTCCCAACTGTGACTCAATGCAAGAGATAATCCTACGCTCCGTTACCGCTTTGGGTGACTCATAATATCTCATTGGCAGAGTCGGCATACCCTCCCCATTACCAAACTGACTCGACCCAGACCCCGATCCGGAACCAGACCTGTTATCAACACCAGTCTCGGGAATTGTGACTTCATCTCTGGTCAATTCCGTGAAACTCTTCTTCCCACTGACACCAACATTGGGTTCCATACGTGGCTTCATTACTGCCACACCTGCTGCTTCCTTCTTGTCCTTTAGTCTCCGGTGACAAAACCACATCTGCAACTGTCGATCAGTCAACCCTAACTTCTCTGATAGCTCTGCTCGAATTGCTTCAGATGGATAAGTCTCCACTGCAAAGTCAGAGAAGTAAAAGAACAGACATAATTATGGCATACATTAGGGACATATGACATAACCACATTGAAAACCTCTACACTATCCATCAAGGAAAATATGCAATATAGTAAAAAAAAACTTTCAGATTGCATAGTTCAGAGCAAAGGTCATAACTTTTGAAAATATGGGAGTGTTTTAAGCAGGTATCTGAACTGCATTTTCAAATAATGGATCCATCGACCACTAAATACAGGACAGCTTATCAATATTTCAGAACGATGGATTCAGAGGATTTCAATTTCCCTATGCGACGTTAATTTTGTTTTTAACAGGACGAAGTGCAAATTCTAGATACTGCTGCTTCATCCAAATACATGCATTATTGTGCATAAACAGTAATCTAGTTGAAGTGTAGCACATGCAATACATAGATAAAGTAGCAGTAAGCAATATTTATATACACATGTGTGTATGCATAAGAAAGTAAAATAAAAGAAAACCCATTTGATGGCTGGAACGTAGACATAAGCTAAAGCAGAAACATGAACATACACATGCCAAAGTTCACATCTTTGACATAAAAATACACGTACACAGCGAGAAAAAACACAAAAGTTGCAGAGATAAACATACTGGCGTAGACTTTTTCTAGGGTTTCCAATTGGAAGGGAGTCTTCATCTGGCGCTTGGGCTTCTTGGGCTGACCATCCGAAGGGCTTTGAAGAGCGTTTTTGTTGCTCTCTCCTTCAGAACCACCCTCCATTACAGATCAACGGAAGGTCACAACCCCTAAATTCTCTAGCAAACACAAACGAATCGAGGGCCAAACAACAAAACCAACCCTATCGATGTATATAACTCTAAATATTACAGGATTGCGGTTACTAAGAAAACACAAAGAGAGAAAAATTGGTACGAGAAAACATCTTAAACAAAAACGAAAAGAGAAGACGAGAGCCAGCAAAATTGGTAAGAAGAATATCAAGGAATTATTATTATTATTATTATAAGTAAAGAAAACAAGATATCGAAACAGTAGAAGAAGAACTCCGCCAAGAAATTCCATGTTTTTTATCTATGATACTTTTAGTGTATTTCTTTTTCTTTTTTTCTTTTTCGAATTTTGACTTGAAGTTTATCAGTTGTTGATAAACATCGAATTCTATGAATTTTTCCGTATGAAATTTCAGTACCTTTATTTTGAAATTCAATTCCATCGTTCATTTGACGTTTTTTTGGGATTTGAGTTTTTCTTTTATTCTACGACTTTTTCTCATATCATTTCTTATTACTCCGTACTCCGTATTATTTAGTGGACACACTGCAAGTATGATGGTGGCCTGGTGCAGCCTAGCTAAGTAGCTATTTTTGGTGGTCTTTTTTATCTTCTCTCAAATCAAATCCCATTAGCATGTTTTTATTTCGATGGTTTTGACTCGGAGAACAAATTAAATCAGACTTAAATAAATTAGATCAGATCAGACTAGACCAGAACATGCAAGATTTTAACAAATCAAACCAGACCAAACTCAACTTTCGTAGTTATAAAATACACAGAGATCAGACGTTTACCATACCAGGTCAGTCAGGGGCGGACCGTAGTACAGACCCAGGGGGGCAACCGCCCCCCAACAAATTTTTTTAGTGTATATATATGCGAAAAATATTTTTGCCCTCCTTAACGAATAATTTTCTCCCCTCCGAAATGTTTTTTTGAATCCCTCCAAAAAAAAAATCGCACTCAAAACATAGCCCACTCGCAGAAACTCAATTGTTTAAGAGCCTAAAAAATAGAAAATATGAAAATAATATTATATCAGCCCACTCAAAATTTTGTTCCCAACCCACCCCATTATTTATTCCAAGCCCACCCCAAAAGAGCCCAGTCCACCTATCCCATAAAGTCATAAACAAGCATGCGCACAACGCACCTAAAAGGAAGCACAAGCACTTGAAATTGCAAGAATGTTGGAAATCGGTGAGCTTGAAGCAGGCAGAGAACTTAATCAGGTTGGTATATTACAACGAGCTGGGGAAACTCGTTGGATCTCGCATTTCAGTTCTATTTACAGTTTGATTAGGATGTTTGCTGCAACTTGTCCTGTTTTAGAAGATGTTGAAGAGAATGGCAATAATTTTTCTACTCATGGAGACACAGCTCGAGCACTTGAGAAGATTAAATCTTTTGATTTTGTTTTCTTGTTGCATCTTATTAAAGAAATTATGGACATTACAGATCTTCTATGTCAGCATATACAAAAGAAGTCCCAAGACATAGCAAATGATATGCATTTGGTGTCAAGCACCAAAATGTTGATCCAAAAGTTAAGGGAAGGTGGCGAGATGGGATAACTTCTTAGTAATCGTTAAAGAGTTTTGCAAAAAGCATGATATTGAAGTTCCTAATATGAAGTCTTCTTATGTGGTAAAACGCAAATGCCATGATCAATAAGGGTTTGATATTGAATGTCACTATCGGGTTGATATGTTTTACGCAGCCATAGATTCACAATAGTTGGAGCTGAATAGCAGATTCAATGAACAGATAATGGATCTTCTTACTCTTAGATGTGCTTTGGATCCTAAGGACTCATATAATTCCTTTAACACTGATGATATATGTTCTTTAGTGATAAATATTACCCCTTTGATTTTATTGAGCAGGAGAAGGTGGGCTTGAGGTTTAAATTGCAACAATTTAAGCTCAATGTTCTAAATCATCCAAAGTTGGCGAATTTGTCTACAATGGCTGAACTTTGTCAAGGATTAGCCGAGACGGAGATGTCAAAAGTGTACTTTCTTATTGATAGATTGGTCCGACTTTTGTTGACTCTACCGGTATCACAGCAACACCACAAAGAGCTTTTTCAGCAATGAAAATTATAAAAACAAGGCTTCGCAATAAAATGGAGGATGAGTATCTTGCAGACGACCTTGTTGTTTATATTGAAGAAGAAATTGCTAAAACTTTTGACTCAAAGGCCGTGATTGAGGAATGTATCTCGTTGAAGGAGCGTCGGGCACAATTCTAAGGTATTAACTTTACTATTCTGTAATAATATATTTGTCTCTTCTTCTATTTTTTGCCTATTATGTAGTTTTAATGCTTCGTTTTATTACTATTATATAAAAGTTATAACTTATAATAATGAGCACCTATTTTTTTTTAAATTACCGCCCCCCATGATTAATTTCCTGGGTCCGCCCCTGATGCCAGTTCATATTAGACCAGACTTAAACATACCATAATAGACCAGACCAGTTCATATTAGACTAGACTTAAACAGACCAGAATAGACCAAACCCGACTTAAACAGATCAGGTCAGAACAGACCAGCAAATTACAATCTAAGTAAAAACATCTTGAGACTTTTTTATGGCCTCTTTTCTTTAGATCTTTCTTGACCCAGTATTTGATTGGAAAAAATGAGATGTATATGCAAATTACTAACAAATTTGAACAAAAATATGACTAATTATGTTTTTTGGACAAGAGTCATTGTATTGTGTTTCAGGCAAGTCACTGGTAGGTGAAGGGTCAATGGGAAGGCGGGAACTAGTCACTGAATATGACATTTCTTTAAAAAAATTAAAATAAGTCATATTTTTATCTTTTGCATTTAATTTAGTAATATTCATGGAAAAGTATATTTGATACTCCCTCCATCCCTTAAATTTGACCAAATTTGACAGGCACAGGGATTAATAAAATAAAAATTGTGTGGTTGACGTTTGTGCAGAGCATACAGAAATAATTGTAACCACAAATTCCTTCTTTAAAAGAGAAAGTGACAAACTCAGTTGGACAATCAAAAACGAAAAATTAACAATTTTTTTAAGGGAAGGAGAGAGTATGATATAAGGAAGAAACAATTCTAGAAATATGATTCTAGACTTTTAAATGGACAAATATGGGACTTAATTTCAAATTGGACGAAAAAGAGATCAAATCTATACCAACTAACTAAAATACCATTTCTTCTCCGTGTACGCCCCTCTTCTTCATCACTCCAATGAATCTCAACTAGAGCGAACATCAATCGTCTCTCATGTCACAATCTCTTATTCCAGCAAACATCTCTTCTCCATCACATATTGGGCTCATTGTCGCCGCAATCCATGAACCTTCGTCATCCGTCATACGCCAACACGGGGTGTTGTTGTTAGTATGTATGTCCTAGCGACAATCAATTTTAGAGACATATGTACTTGATCACATTCAGTTTTTATATTTGATATATATATATATGGTATTACACTTTATGAATGATTGTTTTTTATTGTCAATGTTTTATTCATAATTGTATTCCCTTTGACTTATGTTGTCACTAAGTAAGCGAGAGCTTATATGTCACACCTCGGGCCTACCCGGACACGTCAACAACCCGATTTACAGTACGAATAGTCAACCGCAGTCCAACACATCCATACTATACAAGGCGTATGGAATATCATTCACACGTAGTACATCCATAAACAAACATAATATAAAATATTCATTAAAGCAGCGGAAACATTAATACAAGTGTTCAAGCCACACTTGGCAAACTTAGGCATACAAGCCCCCAAATAATTATTCAGAAAAATAATTTCCATGAGCATTATTCGTATTGTTTTCAAAACAGAAACAGAAGAAGCACGAACCAAGTCTTCTTCATTCAATCTTCCCGAAGCAACGGGCGGTGGTAGGAACCTTCAAGTTCTACCTGAAACTGTGAGGTGGCCTCCCTGTGAAGGGAAGGTCAGTACTTTGAAGCATTTGAAAAGTAAAATGACAACTACATTGTATATAATCAATGTTTCAATCTCTAAGACCCTCAATCTAGGGTGATGTTATATGAAGAAATGGCAAGAATAATACTACTAGGCTTTTACTTGACAAAAATGTGACTAAAACTCATTTGGACAGAACACTAATTGACCTTCCGTTGCTGCTCTGTTGTTCCGCATCTTCCCAATTCAAAGCCCAAAATCATCTCAAAGCCTAAATTAGCATCTTCTCTCACCCCAACCCTAGAGTTTGTGCAACTGCCATGGAACTGAAGACCAGCCGCTGCTGAAGAGAAGCCGCCGTCATCGTCGCTAAAGAGTCGCCGAGCCATATCCATCTCGTCTGCTCCCTTCCGATCAATGGAAACAAGCTTATTCACCGCGCTGAGTAGCATCGTCGCCTTCGTTGCTCTTCGCCTCCACTGTTGCTCATCGTCGTCGTTCCTCTTCACCGCAAATCTAATTGCCTTCCTCGTTTTCTTCTCCTCTTCCTCTATCTGACGGTTCACCGTCCTTTCTCTCAGATTTGTGACAGAACTTTATTTTCTAAAGTTAATGTTGAGCGGGGGGGTTGAGCGGCGGGAAGGGGGATGGGGGAAGGGTTGGCGAGGGTTGCTTGGTTATGGCAGAAGGTTGGGGCACGGGAGGGGTGGTGGCAATGGGCGGGTGTGTGGGTAGCGGTTGTAAAAGATGAGTGTTTGGCCACTGGAGAAGCGCTGGCGGCCATTAGACGGGGCAACGGGCCACCAGATGTGGTGGCGCGGACGTGGTAGTTGTCGGTGATAGCCGGTGGTCGATGGACATTAGTGGTCGGTGGTGGCGCATGTGGTGGTGTACAGTTTCGACGGAAAAGGTTGCTGGAAAAATTTTCAGACAGTTGTAGTGACATATTTTACGACAATAGTGACATGTTTTACAGGAATAGTGACATTCAAAAGTGACATAAATATGTAATAGTGACATAGAGCAATGACATAAAAATCTGATAGTGACATCATGTTTTTGTAGATATATGATCCTTTTAGTCACATTTTTGTCTTTTTAAAAAATGGTCACATTTTTGGAAATTACCTTTAATTGGTAATATTCAAGGAAAAAGCCCATATTATATTATAGGCCTTAATTCTCGATTACCCGTTCTAAGGCTTTACCCTACGCATAACTTCACTATTCTGGAACCCCGTTCACTTATTATAATTACCCGAGGTAGTTACTTCTGACTTCTACTACTCTCCTCACAAACCACTACAAGCCTTTACCACACACTTTATCCTCACTCGTGCGCGCCCTGAGAAACTTCCTAGGGGGTCACCCTTCCCAAGACTACTCTTGTGCAAGCACGCTTAACTTTGGAGTTCTTGGATGATGAGCTCCCTTAAAAGGAGATGCACCTCTGTTGGTATGAGTAGTACTATTAATCCACTTAAATTAATCTCGGGTATTACATTAGTCACCCTACATCGTGCTAGAGCCTCGCTCATAGGCACTCTACATTATGCTAGAGCCTTGCTCTTAGTCACTGTTACACCGTGCTAGAGTCT